GAATTTACACTTGCGTCCAATAGACATTATCGCGCGGCTGCGAATATGAGGTGAGCGCCGCGTTGATATCGTATACATGGAGGGAGGACTGATAATACATCCCAAAAAATATAATCTCATCCTCGGCGGAATCCTCTTCTTTATGGCTTCAAGAGGATTGCTGAGTAGAAATGTAACTGGTATTAATCAAAAGCTAATATCCAGGCTGAATTAAATTTCCTAGCTCGTTACCAATTCGTTATTGATTGGTTATTCGCCGAAATATTGTTTCGAGTTTGTGGTCCAGCCGTTATCTAGTCATTACACATCAAATATGACGAAGTAGATGGCGTTGTCTATTCTAAAATACATAATCTAGCTACTGTATTAGTCACTAGCGTTTTAAAAACTTACAAAGAACACTAGGCAACTCAAAAATTCAAAAAATTCTGAAACTTTGTGTGTAAAGCAATTCATCCGTAACACAAAACTATTTTTTGTTCGTGCGAAATTTTAGGAGATGAAACACCCTTTTAAAAAAAATCGGTTTTTTTCTTTTGAAGCAAATATCGTCGAAACTATATGAGATAGAACAAATTTTCCAAAGTGAAAATTAAATGATTTCAAGAGTACTTTAGAACTATAATAACAAAATTTTTTTAATTATTTATTTATTGTATACCCCCAACCCTATTTAAAAGAAAATTTTTTTTATTATAGTTCTAAAGTACTCTTGAAATTCAATTTTTACTTTGGAAAATTTTTTCTATCTCATAGTTTCGACGATATTTGCTTAAAAAAAAACCGATTTTTTTCAAATGGGTGTTTCACCCCCTAAAACTATTTCCGCACGAACAAAAAATAGTTTTGTTTTACGGGTAAACTACTCTACTTGCACACAAAGTTTCAGAATTTTTTGAATTTTTGAGTTGCCTAGTGTTCCTTGTTAGGTGGCAAATCAAAGTTGAGATTACATTAATTTTATGAAAGTCTCAAATGAGCAGAATTGAGCGTTATATTATCGGCTAGAAACAACTTAGTTTCAGCAACAAAATCCATTGCCCTCGTTTATTAGTTTTTTCATCTCGCGTGACTGTAATTAATTTATTGCGTTTATTTAATCACAGCTAACTTATTCTAGAAGAATCCTCTTGCATAGCATTCATGTATAAGTGGATGAGATTATATTTTTTAGGATATAGGACACTAAAATAAATTGAAACCTGAGCATAGGATCAACGAGGAACTCGCGTTCTCTTATTGTTATTTTTATGTCGTCGACATCGGTAACTACACTGAGAGAAAAAAAATGATTGATCCAACTGAAATTATAGTTATTCCTTGCCCGGATCGTACTTTTTGGTTGTTTTATGTACACGAAAATAGTAATAAGTAACATGCATGTCGGTTTATTATCACTAACATTACAGTAGAATTTAATTAGAAAATGCTTTCTTTCATCATAACTTGTAGTAATAATTTCTCTATGTGATTGTACAGTTACAAATACCAAACATTTTTTTCCTCAGTTTAACAGCAGCACGTAGTCGTTCACGACGACTGATGAAAGAGGATGTTTCACGATCGCAGCAAATCAATCGGCCTGATCGTTCTACTTTTCGCGAACAGTGAACGAGAGTCCCTTTGTTACATTTTATTCTCCTCTGCCAGTCCCCCCTCCCTCGCATTCACGAAGTTTATTTATTGTGAATCGACAGGATACTTGGGGCGAAAGAGGATATTGTTATTTACGAGAGATAAGGGGCTATTATTAGACGCGCTTCTTCGCTTGTTCGCGAAATTGTATAAGTATTAGTTATCGGCTTACATTTGCAGGGACGCGAATAGTTTGTTACGAATTCCTTGGTGGGACGAGAGAGAGAGAGAGAGGGAGAGAGAGAGAGAGAGAGAGAGAGAGAGAGAGAGAGAGAGAGAGAGAGAAAGAAAGAAAGAAAGAAAGAGACTACTCTACCGAGGAGAGGAAATATGCTCGATGATGTCGTTAGAGTTCGACGAGGGCAATGGGTCTTGTTGCTGAAGGACTGTATGTTCGTACATTTTTAATGACAAGAGGACGGTGGCTAATAATACGGCGAACGAAAGAAATGCGCGGGCTACGATCGATACGACGTGATACGAGTAATGGAAGTATCGCGTAGTGGCGCTCCCCGTGTAAGTCTTCGTCGGGAAGAAACACCGCTGAAACTTTGTACGTGACTTGTATATTATCCCGAGCGTGACTACTTTTTGTTATTTTGTCCCCTTTGGCGCCTTCGCTGGCTATATTTTATAATCTATCACGCTCGGAACTTCCTGTGACAGGCGGTCTTGAATACGCGCGATTGTTATTAAAAACTTTCGAGGGCGCTCTCTCTCTCTCGATCAAATCACCTGATTTATTGTGGATTTTGAATTTAGTATTCAGTTTTAGCTTAGCTTTCAGTTTTTCAGGATCGTTATCAAGCTTGCTTTATTTATTGCAGATTTTTCCTTCTTTTATTTCCCACTTCCTCTTTTTCATTCTTTCTTATCTTATCTTCTTGTGCTATGCAAAATGGGTTAAAAGTTTATGAATAAATAATTAATTGTCACGCCCTTGCGCGCACTGGGGTTGCGACATGGCCTCGGAAAGATCACGAAGGATCACGAGAGATGGTCGCGTCGCTGAAGACCGTCACACAGTCACATAGAATGGATAACGGGATACGAGTTTTCCTCGCTCGCGCTTCGAATTCAATTGCTTTGTAAAATTAATAAACGTCGAAACACTGGACTGGCGTCCAGCTAGTGAATTGCTCCCAGCAGCTTGTTGAAATCTAACGCCGATATGTACACGCTGAAATGATTATTAAATGATGGCAACATGAAGAGTACATACATCCCCGCGTCTCGTTAATAATAATAATAATACGTTCGAATATTTCGCAGCGGCTAATAGTGTTTCCATTTCATGCGATTCGTATCGCGACCATTGAAATCGATTTTCACGAACCCGTGTAACTACTCGTTAACAAATCGTTCCGAGCAATCTCCGTCCCCGAAATTAATGGACACGGCTCTGTATACATTAGCCACGTCGTCAAAAATAAATTTCAATAATTAATCTCAAAAGTTGGCCAATGATAAACGAGGGCGCCGCGACAGGGAAGTTTGCCGATATTTTAAATACTCTTTCTCGTAACTTCCGAAGCGAGGGAGGGGGAACGCTGAAAGGACTCTGTCTGTAATATTATACGGCGCTCAACTTACAACTACCACGGGCGCATAAAACTCGCGACAAAAACGGCGAAGTTAAACGGACTCTTAACAAGATTCCCGGATATTTCCAACGTCTTCCATTGTTATCGATTATAAAAGCGACGGTGCAAAAATTCGGCCACTTTGCAATATCGCGCTGGGAAACAAAACGAGTTACTTTAACGCGTCTCTAGCGGAAGATTCATGCACGAAGAGATGTTTCTCGTTGAGCGATCAGAACGCGTTTCATCCCGCTATTCGCATGGACATACAAAGATAAATTATACGACTAAACGAAACATTATTTAAATAATCTTCGATATTCAATCACTAAGAATTAATTTTGGGCAATAAGTATCCTTTCGTTCGCGTAAAAATTTTCCAAGATTTGCCCAGAATATATATTCTAATTAGGTATTAATTGAAAATCACAAACGTGGATTCTCTACCTAGAAACAAAAATACTATGGAAATACGCGTTTTTTTCAGTCGGTAATGTCGATATATTTTTATGATATCAAAAAGGAAATTTTCATTTTTACGTCAACTATAATATTTAATATGGAATAAAATATAAAAAATATATTTATATTTGTGAATAATATATTTTACTTATAAATACAATTATTTGGAAAGTCAATATATTTTATTCAGTTTTAACGTAAAATGAAGACCAGAAAAATATTGGGTTAACTTTGAATTACCTCATCTAAAATCGCATGTTTGAAACATTACACTTCTAACAAGTAAACTTACCCAAAAGGTACACTCCGATTTCTTTCTAACTTGGCACAAATGTAGAAGTAGAAGAAATATTTAGGTCATATTTTTTCATTTTGATCCACTTTAAGTTTCACAGGCAGTTTATAGCTTTTTAATGTTCTAACTCCTATCATCAACAAGTGCAACAAAAATGCATAAGAAATAAAATTGAATACAAGATATAGTTAAATAATTTTAACAAAATCGGCATAACTGAGACACGAACTATTCTAAATTTCAACCGAGATTCCAACCGAAATACTTCAGATCTGTGCTAAATTAGTCAAAAATAGTTTGAATCTCGGCCAAACCGAGAGAAATCCGGTAATTTTAATTAAAATGTTTACAAAATCGGCATAGCTGAGATACGAATCATTCTAAATTTCTTTAGATTCCAAGATTCCAATCCAAATATTTAAAATTTGTGCTAAATTAATAAAAAATGGTTCGAATCTCGGCCAAACCGGGAAATTATTTGTATAAATAATTTTTTTCAATTTTTTACATGTTTTGTTTAAACATTTTATTATTTATACAAATAATTTTACACATTTGACTTCATATTCATAATCAGTAAACCAAAAAAACTTATATCTTGTATTCAATTTTATTTCTTATGCATTTTTGTTGCACTTGTTGATGATAGGAGTAAGAACATTAAAAAGCTATAAACTGCCCGTGAAACTCAAAGTGAGCCAAAATGAGAAAATATGATCTAAATATTTTTTGTACTTTTACATTTACATTTACATTTGTGCCAAATTAGAAAGAAATCGGAGTGTAACTGTTGGGTCGGTTTACTTGTAAGCAAAACCCGTGATTATTTTAAAAAATCTATCTGTGGATCCCAATTAGATCCTAAGGAAATTTCTGTTCTTCAAGAAGCTATTATTCACTGCCAATATACTTGCGCGGTTCTTATTGGCCAAAATTAATTAATTTTCAGATAATTCTCTGATAAATGTGTTCTCAGTGATAACGTTCGACTCGTGTATGGAATCATATTTTGCTGTGTGTTTCAGGGTGAAGGTGAGGCCGGGCGTGAAGATCCTGGAGGCCTCGTCCAGCAGTCCAGACTGGATCGTCGATAACGAAGTCAACGCGAAGAACACGGCGGCGACGTTCACGGTGCGGCGCAAGGAGAATGCGTCGCGTGTGCCGAGCACGTAAGTGCCTCATGTACTTTCGGGCTGGTCTGACACTTTTCCCCTCGTTAAATCTTGCGTACTTGCTCGACCGCCGAGCGCTAGATAGAGAATCTTACTGAGATCATAAGCATGTTAAAAGCACCCTTGATGTTACGTGCGATATCGAAGTTTCCGCTACTATTTCTCACGAAATTGACACTGATCTCGCCACCTGGAAATTGCCTAAGGAACTGTACTCTTTCTTTTTCCCATTCGCAATATTCAGACCAATAAGATTAGATGGTTATAATTAACAAACTATGAACATGTACTCTCTAAAGTACAATCAGTATATTCTTCATTGAACTGATGGACTGCTTAGAACTGGTAGTTCAGTCATAAGTATAGCCTGCAATCAGTGAGGTCTCGCTGAAAGGGCCAGTTAATAGTAGAGACTGTTCCCATTATTGCTGCACTTTACGAACACAGACAGTGTCATTGCACGCGAAGGAACATGAAGGCCGTTAATTGCATCGTCGGAAACGCAGAAAGTTGGATTTGGTATAGCATATAATTTATGAAATTACAGATCTTGCAATGAAATTTTACTTCCACTGATCAAAATCAGTAATATATAAGAAGGAGCAGTTAAGTGTTATCACTGAAAATCAACGAATATTTATTGGTCATCGGTGAAATACTCATTTTACTCTGATTCGATCAGAAGTCATTTTTACTGATTCACTTCAAGAGAATACTTTTCACTGAGATTCAAGGTTGCGGATGCACGAGAGTAATAATAAAATTTCATTAAGATTACACCAGCTTTGACACATCAAGACTGTTTCCGTTTATTACATTTAATATTTGACGTAAATTTAACGCAGTGTAAAAGGAAACATATGTGTATATTACTGAGAAAAAATATTTAGTATATTTATAACTATAATCACATAGAGAAATAATTACTATATAATTATGGTCAAGAAAACCATGTCTTTTTATTAAATTCTACTATAATGTTAGTGAGAATAGCCTTATATGCGTATCGCTACTACCATTTTCGTGTTAGGACAACCAAAAAATATTGGGGTTGGGGTCGAAGATAACTAACTTTAGTTAGATCAATCATTTTTTTCTGTCATGAGGTATATGAGGATCAAGGCTATCAAACTGGAAGATAATCCATCGGTTGGTCTACAGTGTCGGGTAAGGCAGTAGTCGTCTTGGGCGTGCAGTGCCTCTTCTTCTTCTTCTTCGCATCCTTCTTCTTCTTCTTCTTGTCTTTCTTCGACCGAGTCACCCGTTGGGCTCTCGTCTGGTAACCTTCTTCGATCGCGAGTCGATTCCTCGCGGTCTCTTCGGCCGCTGAAGTCGCGGCCGATCGAGCTAGCCGAGCGTTCGGTTTATTCTTCTCCTCGGACGATGATTTACTTTCCGAAGTATCGCGGGTAAATCGCTTCTTTGACTTGTCGTCCCGCCTCGCGGACGATGATTCACTCTTCGCGTCCTCGGCGAGTCGATTCTTCGGATTGTTTTCGAGTGCGCGGATGAATCGCGAGTTCTTCGGCTTGTTCGTCTCCTCGGACGACGATATGCTTTCCAAGGAAGGATTCTTGAACGACGCGTTAGACCTGGTAGACCGACGCGTTTTCTTGCCTTCCTCTTCGGACGTGTCGCTCTCGGACGTATCTTTCGCCCTGACCGGACGTAGCCTTCCTAACCGGTTCTTCGGTTTGTCCTCCTCTTCGGACGTGTCGCTGTCCGACTCCACCTCTCTGATGAACCTTAATGATGATATTTTTGGGTAGACCCGCTCTTTGGACGCTGATTCACTTTTCGAGATATCGCGTCGGCCCTGTACGTATCTCTTCTTACGATGCTTCTTATCTTCCTCCGAGGACGATGACGACGAGGAAGAAGAAGATGACGACGAGTCGTCATCACAATCGTCATCGTCGTCATCGTCGTCGTCATCGTCGTCGTCGTTCTTCTTCGATTTCCTATGTTTCTTCTTGCTCTTCTTGTGGTCATCGTCGTCATCATCATCATCCTTCTTAGATTTCTTCTTTTTCTTGCCTTTCTTATCATCATCGTCGTCGTCGTCGTCGTCGTCATCATCATCATTGGAGGAGCTGCTGTTGTCGTCATCATCGTCGTCATCGTCGTCGTCGTCATTCTTCTTCGATTTCCTATGTTTCTTCTTGCTCTTCTTGTGATCATCATCGTCATCGTCGTCATCATCATCATCCTTCTTAGATTTCTTCTTTTTCTTGCCTTTCTTATCATCATCGTCGTCGTCGTCGTCGTCATCATCACTGGAGGAGCTGCTGCTGTCGTCATCATCGTCATCGTCATCGTTCGCCTTGCCCTTCTTCTTCGAGCCCTTAGCGCGCGCTACGCGCTGCAGCTCCGTCTCCTGCTGTTCCTGCTGCTCCTCATCCTCCAGAAGCCTCAATTTGTCCTCCAAGTAGGACTCCCTCTTCGTACGCTTCTCCTCTTTGCTCTCCTCGCTGGAAGAAGCCGAAATGTCGGATTTCTTCTTGTCACCTTCGTGAGTGATGGGGGTCTCTGCCGTGCTCGTGTCTATTTTCACGGTCTCTACCGTGGTCGACTCTATTTCCTCAATTTCTGATTCCACCGCCTCGGCGCACCTGCTGCTCGCGAGCAACACGAGGGTGCCCGCGAGCAAGAGCAACGCGCTGCAACGCATAATCGGTGACACGGACCGGCACTCGCAAGAGAACGGTGTACACTCACGACCAGCGTCGGTTGGTCGTCTTATATACGGTCGTCCCGGAAAGACCGATAAAGCGGCACGAAAATAGCGTCACGGAGCTGTGTATGGTTGTTATCAGCAGTTAGCAATTGATATCGATGCGTATGTGCTGAGAAGCAAGTGCTGCTCAAGGAAGAGCAGCTACAGGGAGGAAAGAGAGGAGAAGGCAGGCGAGATTGCCTCGTTATCGCGGCGATGAACCCGTCGATGGTCCGCTTCGATTCCGCGTGCTCTGCAGCACTCGTCGAGAGCATCTCGTCGCCGCGGCCTCTCCGAAAGAGAGAGAGAGAGGGAGAGAAAGAGAGAGAGCAAGCTTCCGCGAAATCGACGATTTACCGTCCCCCGGTCTCGGATCATCGATCGCGAGTGCAGGGTAACGTCGGCACGCAACGCAGATCGGCGGCCCCCGATAAGGGGGTGACTCGCGGGGTTCTCCGCCTTATCGAGATTCTGCACGGCGCTCTCTCGCCTGTAGTAGCGAACGCGACGGCTCCCGCATCGAGATCAGGTCGATGTGTATGTCCGCTCTCCTTTCCTCTCTGTTCTTCTGCTCCCCCCTTCTCTCTCTCTCTCTCTCTCTCTCTCGCTCGCTCGCCAGGCACAGGTAGCTCGAGGCTCTGCGGAATAATTACTTTGAAGTAACGTCGCGGGCTGCTTCTCGATCCCTCGATAAGATCGTAATGAGCGAATGATGCCGCGAAAGTTGCGCTTATTAAGGATGTTTAACGAAGGATTCGCGTCGAGGATGAACGGACGTGGAAGGGAAGAGTGGGAGAAGTCGTTCTCTCGGCGGATATTAAGGCTGAAATCGAAGAATCCGTCTTGGAGGCGACTGCGAACGACGGCGATTTGTAATCTCTCCAACTCGACGGCGCCGAGCGCGACTTTTGACGTGACTAACAATTGGCGTCTGTGTCCTCCTTTCGCAGTCGCGACTCAAACGTAGGAAAAGATGCTGCAACCTCAGGCCTCCTCGAAATTTCCATTTTTATTTTAGTCATATGTGAACTCTGGCTGTAAACGCAGTAAATTGTCACATTAGCAAAGCAAAAAGGTCGCTAGAGAGCACTGAAATCGAACATGGGTCCAAGATATAGCACCTTCTCTTACGCTTGCTTGCCCCTTTCACCCTTCTCTTCTTCTCTATCCGCAACCGGCTCTGTTTCCAATAAAATTTGAAAAATTCACGACTCGTATGTATATGTGTGCGCGCGCGCAGGCGCTACGTAAACATTCTTCCGATTTTGTCAATGTTTTTTTCCCAATTGTCCGCTTCGTTACAGAAACGTACTGAAAAACGCGTTTCACATATTTTTCGCGTTTCAACGAGTGTACACACCTGTAATCCGATGCGGTGCAAATCTCGAATCCTGATCTCCACATTGGAGAGCTCTATAAACGAAAACAAAAAAAAAACGAAATTGGGACATCAAAGGAAAACATGACAATCACTGATTTAGTTGGACAGTTCTCGATCGTGAGGCCGTCAATACGAGACAAATTCACAGTTTAATTTCAGAACGAAAGCGACCGGGAGTTTCCGGCCGGGGCACGGTGCATTTTATGTAACACAGTATCGTTCGAAAACAAAAAGTGAGTTTAAAAAAAAAATATCCTACGCACTCATCCATTTAACGTTACCCGAGAGGAGGATTTGTTGTTGCTTCCCCCAACGTATAATTAAGTGCAACGAATTTACGGATCTCCCAGCGAGCCTAATTGTATTTACATGAGGCAATGGATATTTAATTACCGTTTAACTCATAATTCCTCGCGAAAATTGCTCGTTCCACGGCGATTCTCTGCATCCGACGTCGCTGCGCTCGTCGTAAAATATGAACGTGTCGTCGGGGATCGTGTGTATGTATAGCGCGAGAGAAACGGCAACGGATGTTTCGAAGAACCCTTCCGCGCTCATCGAAAGAAGAATATTCTCAGCATGATAGCAAGAACCAACGGCGGGGAGCGGAGGGGGAGGATAGAGAGCAAAGGGTGCCTCGGTCGGTTTCTTACGCGACGTACAATTTTCCGTTCGCCGTTTAACACAGCCGGGCGAGTTTTCGTTCTTTTTAATTCCCGCGCTCGTTCCCGCGAGGAACTCCTCGTCGAAATAGCATCGGTCGTTAAACGCGTATTTACACTGCTCGAGAGCGAACGAGCGAACGTTTGCTGGCGCTCACGACGGTAAGGAATGTGCAGCAGCCAGCATCGCGCGGGCGCATCCCTTCGCCGGCGATACAGAGGCATCGCGAATTGTTCGCGGGATCGCGAACTTGCGAAGAACTATGTCTGCGTCTAAGCAGACGCGCCTCCCCCATGCACTGCGTCATCGTCGCGGAATTACACGCAGAAAAAGAAGATATGGCGTGTTCTCTGAAGTACAGTCAGTGTACTTCTTCACTGAAATGCTGCACTTACGACTGATGCCTCAGTCATTAACACACTGAGAGCGAAGTGTTTGGTATTTGCAACTATAATCGCACAGTGGAAAGATTTATAGTCAAGAGAAGCATTTCTCTATAATTTTAGTAATAATTAATTGTAAAAACTATAATATTTTCTCCGCGCACAAACATTATCAATCACACAGTTATCAACATTATTATCAATTATGATTATCGAATCCTCGTTGATAATCACAAGGATTCTGTCGGTAATTTTAGAATTCTCGAGGATTTTAGAATCTCTGATTGACGATTTCGAGAATTTTATTGATGAATTGGAATCGGGAACTTTGTGATTGGTTGATGCAATCTATAAGATCGAGCTCTATAATTCAAATTCCCATTTCTGTTCTCAGGTCCGCGGAGGAGATAATGACAATGCTGCTGGAGGCCAGCGAGGAGGGTATAGGCGAGAGCTACGACAGGGATAGCGGCAGGATCGTGTGGACTGTGCGTTACACCCTGGAGGGTGAGGAGGAGAACGGCTCACAGTTGACGGACATCGATCAGTCGCAGCGAATGCAGCAGCGGCAATTGCAACACCATCATCATCATCGCGTCGATAAGAAGAAGGTGCAGGTGCGGCTGGAGATACAGAAGGACGACATACAGGCGGTGTTGCCGATCTCGAAGGTAGCGCACGATTCTCTTATCGATCAAACACAAATACCACTCGGCCGTATACATATATATACGTTACATGTACAGTCGGTGGCACAAGAGCGTGTACGCGCTATTTTTCTTAGCATACAAAGTCTTTTTATGAACACAACCTTAATGTACATTATATACTCTAAAGTGCATTTATCTTATACGGCGTCTAGTCTCCTCCATTATTGCCTTGTACGTCTTGGCAGAGTCGAAGCATGCTCTCAACATTTTCCAGAATGGAAACGTGAAAACGACATCATTACAATAGATTATCTCTCAGTCTCCCGACTCTAATCCCACTGGAAATATATGGCAACCATGAAGATGAAGCTTTAGGAAAAATGAGTTTTCACCTTAAGACAGCTTTGTATCAGCTTCACGCAATATAGAGGTCGTTACCTGGAACATTAGCGGAAAATCTCCTTGAAAACATGCCTCGACGCTGTCAAGGCATAATAATGGAGGGAATTGGACGCCGTACTAGATAAATGCATTTATTTAATGTATATAATATATATTAAGACCATGTTCATAATTCTGAAAAAGATTTCCTACTCCAGGAAAAACAACATATATACATCGTTTTTTCTAGAATATATATATATATATATATATATATATATATATATGTGTGTGTGTGTGTGTGTGTGTGTGTGTGTGTGTGTGTGTGTGTGTGTGTGTGTGTGTACAGAAAGAGAGAGAGAAAGAGAGAGAGACGAATCACGAGATGTCACTTTTCGGCACTTTCTATTTTGATTTCCTCCGATGCTAATTAAAAATTAAAGATGCGACAGTCACGGACGTTTTCGGAATTTCGAGACTGCCGGCGCGTGTATTTTAGGTTCAATTATATAGCTTTACGTGCGCACTTACGTGTGTTTTTCCGGAAATCTCTCATGTTGTAAATTATTGAGGATAAAAGAAAGTTTTCACGCGGTTTTAGCTCCAGTGATAAAAAAGAAAAAATGTTTATCGTGTCACCTTTATGAAAACGAAGTGGGAAGGAAAAATCTCCGGCTAGGAAAGAAGTCTTCGACTTCTCAACCTTATCAGTCTGTCGAACGGAAGCGTGACGGTACTTGTGCGAAGAAACTTGTTTATTACGATTTATAGCACACGGAAGAAAATTTATGCAGCTCCCGTTTCTGACGTCACGATCTAAGGAACGCGAGAGGCGGATAAGGAGTCTTGAGACGTCGTTGGCGCGATAGTCGGAGGATTTTTGAGACTTCGGTCAGGTTTTGGCGTCTCTCCCCCATTCTCCTCCTCATCTCCTCCCTTCCTCTTTTTCTCTCTCTCTCTTGTTCTTTCGTCGATACGGCCATTCTCGCCCTTCGTCCTTTCGGTCCTGTTCGTCGAAAATCCCGCGGAAAAGAGGTGACTCGAGCGACGAGCACGATCAATACGGACGTATCGATCACGTCGCCGCGCGAGAATCTGTTTCCACTCGGTCGGCCAATCTACGGTCCTCCCGCGAGCATCTCTCGCGTCGAGACGCCGAGAACGAGAGAAAAAGGAGAAGGACGACGGCAGGGAGTGAGGAAAAAGCGCTGGGGAGGACCGACAAAGGATAATGCTTTTCCCTCTTTGGCTCCCAAGGCGAGCTCTCACTCCTTCTCTCTCTTTCTCCCTCCCTCCCCCTGTCTCTTTCTCACTCTATTTCTCTCTCTCTCTCTCTCTCTCTTGTCTCGTCTCGTGGCCGATGCTTTTTCCACGGCTTTTCCGCGCCCGCGCGTTCACCATAACGGCGATATTTCTAGCCGCGGCAAAATTTTATCGATATCCACGCGCACACCGATCCCACCGGCTGGCTACGTGCTCCCATTTCGGCGATCCAGCTGGTAACAACAGATTGTAATGAAATTTTCAATTGCTGCACGCCCTGGCGGCTGGCATTCCCGCGCTGCTTCTCGTGTCGTTCCTGGGTGGACACGCAGAATGAAGCGCACAAAACGATGGAATTGTTCGAATTATTGATTCGGGGGAAGGACTCTTTTAATCGACATCGCGGGATCGACAAGGGGCTGGAAAGGGAAGGTTATTGAAAGAGCAACGTGACAATTGACGGCGCGGCGAAGGCGCCGCACTTTGCAGGCGCGAGAGAGCCAAAGACGGTTCTGTCAAATCGCTCTTTAAGCAGTCCATAACGGCACGGTCGGGACGCAACCCCGGGTATGTAAATTAGATCTGATGGTTCCGCGCTATCTAAGCGAGGATGACACGCTCGCAATTTCCAGTAACACGACACAGCAGGTGCGCGCACGGTCGTTGCATAGCTCTACGCGCGAAAGCTCGTCCTCCTACTTTGCCGAGGCGATCACATTCATTGAAACACTCGCCTGCTGAAACGAATTAATTAAAAGAGTCTAATTTCGACTTCCGAGACGAGCACCAAAAAGTAGGACGTCACGCGATTGAAATAACCGATTTGGTTGAGAAAATTGTGCTAAATCCGTGCGTTTATTTTATCCTCTCTGTGTACAGATATATGAAGAACATTCTAAAGGAGAATTTAATTAATATCGCATCGTGTTAATTTTGCAGCGTTCGGTGATCGTTTCGTAGAATCGCAATCTCAGAAAAATTTTCTACGCGTTTCCTCGAATCGTCGAGCGTAGCAAATCTTATGACACACACAAACAGTTTGCGCAAGACAACACTTTACGCTGTGTTATATATATAAATAATAATTTTTTCAATGACCGCGCGAATGCGTTAAATGCGTGTGAAATCGTGCCGTCGACTATGAGTTCGATTGCGAGACTCGATATCGCGACGTTGCGTTTCTAACGGATAACGCAGGACAGAGGTCGAGGGCGAGGTCTCTCTTAATTAAAAAGTTCGTTTGCATGTCTCGCGCGGCAAGGGGGCGGCAATTAGAGTAAGGATAATCAAGAAGCGCGCCGAGTTTCCGACAACTTCCCGCGCCCGCGGCGCTTTCAAAGGGATATGTAAACGAATTAATTATCTAATTTATCAATTAACGGCCTCCGACACGCGCGCTCGTCTCCTCCGTCGAAATTTATCGGGGTAATGGCCTGTATTGTGCATATTTTACGCGCAATAGCGTGGAAAGTCTTCGTCATCCTGCCGTCTTCTCCATCTGTTTTCTTCTTGACCAGATTCCAGGTCGGGAAACATTTTCCACCTTCCTTCAATGAAATCGAAAAATAATCTTGCACTCTCGAAAATATCTGAAAGGAGACCGCGTGTGATTCGTTCACGTGTTAAGGTTCATCATTTGTTATACTCCTAAAATATATGATCCTGCAACAAGTTCATCCATTAAAGTATAAAGAAATGTCTCGAGTATGCAAAAGCAAGAACGCTTTCCGTGAAAGATAAATCAACTATAATGAATCAGTCGTTTGGTAAAATAATTCTAATGTTTCTTAAAAATGGACATATTATATTTATGTAAAGTTAATTTCAGTGTAGTCTAAAATTAATCTTAGTGTCTAAGTTTCTCTTGGTCCATGTGTGTGGTTTCTGGTGCTAAAAGTACCAGACGGAGACGTGCTCTGAAAAGATAAGATCACATATACACAGTGTCTGAATTTGGATGCCCAACTGCTCGTATATAGTTAGAACTCGTTCAACTGAAGGGAAATTCTCCCACCATTTTTCTGTTTCGTCCGATTTTCGCCGTTTTTAGAAAACACTCAATAAGCCCAAGACGTCTTTCCAGATTATATATTATGCAATGTAATTACGTTATGTAAATCCTAGCAATCTTCGCGTGGTATACCTTAGGTAATATTAATGTTGGCGTCTACTTTAAGAACTCAACTCAGGAAGTTCTTATCGAAAAAAGGGGTTTATAACCAATGTTTTTGACAGCACCTATAAGAATACAATAAAATCTAGGATATTCCGTTTGAAAATATTCAAAACGACTTTTACCTCTAATCTTGAAAGCTCAGCCAAGGATCTAATTAATATGCTCACCGAATCCGTTACTTGATATTCGATAATTTTTGTATTTAATATTTTTCTCTAAAATGTTTATTTTCAAAATATCTTGCCGGCAGAAGGACTTTTTGAATATTTTGTATAATAGATTATGAAGAGACAAAACTTGTTCTTTCAAATATCCATTAACTATACAGATCATCTGGATTTAGGTGCATGTTTGCAGGTAGAACTTGGTAAATTGAATAGAAAAATCCTGTACTCTGAGAAAAAATGTTTGACATTTGTAACTGTGATATTTGTATAATGATATAGAGAAATAATTACTTACTTTAAAGAATAAATTATAATCGAGGAAACTATTTTTTTATTAAATTCCTACTATAATGTTAGTGGTAATAGCTTTATATGCATGTTATTACTGCCATTTCTACTAAAAATATGATTAATCACTATGAAAAAATCACTATGATTTTAGTTAGATTAATCCTTTTCTTCTCAGTGTACCAGTGTAAATTCTAAATCACCGAATGCTGAAACGTACCAACGTTTCTAACTGCGAGCAATTTTTTAATGCAACGCTACGAATCACCGAAAAATACCGCCTGAAGCGAAAGAGTCGCGGAGCAGCAAGACATGCTCTCTGTCCGATAAAACTTCCATCACGGAAATATCGACTTTGAAATTGGTCCAACAATTCTCCCGTGCATTCTAGCTCTTTTTTTTAACACGTAACAAAAATTGAACCGAAAGTTGGTGCACGCGCGATTGTAACCGGTGATCCGAAATATTTTCCATGGTAAAAGTCATAACAGTCCATGCACTCCCACTCAAACACACACACACACATGCATATGCACGCTTTCGCACGCATACACACGCACCCGCGTACGGCTCGGCGGTCTCGTAAATATTCGCACGGGTCCCGATACAGCTCGGAAAATATTTGATGAAAGGAAAGGAAAGAGCCGGGGGTTGGTTGGCTGGGTCGGAACGTAAGCCTTGGCGCCGCCACCACTTTTACCATCGTAAGAGCGCGTTCGTCGGCGGTGATACAGTTCACTGGCGTACACACACACACACACACACACACACAAGCACATAGACACTTGCCAACCGCCAACGGGGTATACAGGGAGCCCGCGCGAGGTCAGAGATTTAAATTCCCTCGCTGCAATATCCGAGCCGTTTGATGTTCCTTCCAAAGGCCGGTCTGCGCAGGAGGTAACTTGGAAATGGCTTACCGGTGGACCAGGCTGAGCCTCTCCGACCCCTTTTGCCGAGCTCCTGCTGACGAACCAGAAAGTACACAAGTGATATGCGGGCGTGAACGTAAACGCGGACGTGGACGTAAACGCGGACTCAATGCGGATGTAAACGCGGAAAGTAATTTCCACACACGTGAACGCGCCCATAACAGCGCGGCTGCGAGCATCCCTCTCCGGCATTTGCAAAGTGACCGCGCGGCAAACTTGACGATTGTCCGCAAATCTGCCGGCCCTCGTGTTTATGCTTTATCGTCAAGGTTTCTCGCGATTTCGTGGCATTAAAACGTAGCGAAGCTCATAGATAAATCAGTGATTTCGGAGAAAGTGCTCTTTTTCTCGCGAGAACGACCTCTGTGTCACGAAAAACGCTCCTTTCCAACACGGCCACCTCGATTCACGCGAACGGATTTTGACGATTTTGAGTTTTCCCGCGCATCTTTCTCAAAGTTCTCACGTGAATTCGAGGAAGTATGCATACAACGCGCACCGTATCCGGAAGAAATGTAAAAAAAAGATAGAGAAACAAAAGCATGAAGAAAAATTTTTAAAATTTTTTCTCCTACACTTTGAGAAAAAGTATCTAACAAATAAAAAATATTTTTTCATTGAGTACACTAAAAAAAATAACATATTCCATTAAGTCTAAATTCTTTTATTTTATTAGAATAAATAATTGCTTTCAAGAGAGATTAAAGCTTTAAGAAAGTATATATTTTGAAAAATATTCACCGTAGTACGAGTAGATATGTTATTAGTACTAACCCCGATATTTTTTTATTTCCCAGATACTTTCCTCTCTTAATGTAGTTGTCTGGAATTGTTGAAGGATAACTACGACAATGTTGAAACACTTCTTGAATCAATCTCTTTGATTCCACTTGAAGCCTCGCTTTCAACAAAGCATACTTTTCATGCTCACAAAAGAGCGATTCGATCGATCGTCTTCTTTAGATTTTATATACTGTTTGTGAACATTGCCGTTTCCCTTTATTAATTTACGTTTTTTTTTTTCTTTTTTCCGAATTTTGCATTCGGGGGGCGATTCGTTCATATCTTTTAATATCGCCCGGCGCCTTTCATCTTGTCACGACAAAATAGGAAATGAAGTTTGAAACAGAATGGATAACAGTTATGAATAATGGATAATGGCTATCAATGAAGAGTTACAGAGAGGGAGAGAGAAAGAGAAAGAGCGCATATATTGAAATAAATGCAAATTTCGATCGAGCATACTATTAAAAAATCGAGGATGCGAATTTTTGTCAACTGTTACTTGTCCCGCTGCGCGTGCATAAGAGTGATTCATATTTTCTTCTTTCTCGTTTTTTGTTTCCTCGTCTCAGAACTGGGAGGTGATGAATACCGCGGTGCTGACGGGACGTCAGGTATCGCAAGGGATGAAGGTTTTCATCGTGAGCCAAGCCGGCACGGTGGCCGATGTCACGTTGCAGTCGTCCTGTCACTCCGAGGATGAGAGTGTTCTCAAGGTAATTGCTTTTTAATTTACCTCTCGTGCTTATCGAGCCTCCCGGCCGCTTAATTGGGAAAATCTCGGCGTCGTGCAGCGATGGCTGGATCCCGTCAGTCCTTCGTTTCCTCGCCGCCGTGTCTCGCGCGATATCTCATGGAGTCTCGTCTCTATTTTATTATACTACTATCGACGAGCGAGGAAAGTTCCCGCGTACGAAATGATATGCTTCAGAGAGGGAAATATCGTAACTGCAATATGCATTGTTGAATTCGCGTTTCGTTACGTCTTAAAGTCTTTTCTGCATTGATGTTTCTTCAAAAGAGAATGCATATTGTTGAAAACGATTAATTCATCCTTGATCATTAATTTGTTCTTTATCGACTGTAATGCGTTGCTAAAAATTTCGACGAATATTCCGTACACAATTCGCGAAAAGAACGTTTATCAATGAGGTAAAAGCACCAATGTTCGAATATATATCTAATCCTTTAAAAAAAATACATATATATATATGTATATATATATAAGTATTGAGTATATACATATATTCTATGTTAAAAGTTTAAATATTCGTATTTAAAGATCAAAATAATAAGAATGTTCAGGATTACATACGTGTCCGGGAATTGGTACTTTTACCTTACTTTTTCGGAATATATCGAGAGAAAGATGTCAGCTCGGAAACAATATGCATCCAAAGGCCGACATAATAGTCTTAAAACGCATAATATTTGAGACATTAGTACTTTCTAATTGCACATATTTGTTTCTGAACATCATTATATTATTATAACGAAAAAACTATCGCAGAGTAACGAATTGCTGCTTCGACACTCTTTTTTGAACAACAAATAAATAATAAGTCAAATAATAATAATGCGATTAGAAAATCCTCATAACCTAGTTGCGTGTTATATACTGAGGGCGTTACGTCCGTCTGTGTGCGCAGCACGTTCGAGGAAGTTCCAAACTGTCGACATTCCGATCCGCGTTCATACGAGTCCCAAGCGCTGTGTCGCGTCCCGAGCGATCGTCGCTCGGAATCGAACATTCCATCCGGCACTTAATCGTCGCGCGAATTCGCAGGTATCGTCCTCGTGCAGCAGCGTGTACGTAGACGGCTCGGAGATTCGTGGCTCGAGCAACGCGTCGGTGCTCGTCAAATACGGCACGTACACCGGCTTGGCGAAGTTCACCGTGTGGATGCCCGAGTTTCCGCTGGAAGTGACAGTCGTCGACACGCGACTCAGTCAAATCAAGGGTTGGAAGGTGCCGGAGGAGCACGCGGTGAGCACCAAGAGCAAGCGCAGCCTGAACGCGACGGGTCCCGACTCGGAGATCCCCACGCAGAGTTTCACGTCGACGTCGCCGCCGGCGACCGCGCGGGCCAAAAAGAGGAGCGCCGTGGAGCTCGAGGACTCCATTGAGGACGACACGTCCATGGACGTGGATGACCCGGACACGGCGCTCGACGAGGACGAACAGGAGGAACGTTACCGTGGAAGCGATCACGGATGGGACAACTCGATTGAGCGGAACCTACCGGCCACCTGCAGACTGCGCTTCCAGCAGAGCCCGGTCGAGGTGCACGCCCGGTTCCTCGCGACGGATCACGACTCCGGCAGGATCTCGTACTTCGTCAATCGTCGCACCTGGCTGCGCGTCACCGACCTGGTGGCGGGCATGTTGCGCGTCTCCGATCCTCGGATAGCGACGCTTCTCCAGGGCAGGATAGTCCAAGGGCGCGGCGTGGGTCGCACAGAGGTGCAGGTGTTGTCGCCGATCACCGGCAGAGTCATCGGCGCGAAGGAGGTCAGAGTCGGCAACGACCGCGTGTCAGTCACGCGTCTCTCCGTCACGGTGGTCTCCGGACTTCAGCTCAGCATCAGTCCCGACACCGCGATCGAGAACGGATACGTGGCCGAGACCTCCGTCACCAGGAGATTGACCGCTCAGTATCAGGTGAGGTGATCGCAATGAAGTTGAAATCGAATGCAGACGCGATTGAACAAGTCTGATTGATCTATTAATGCATTGGTCGCTACGGTAATTCATAGAAGGAAGAACTTGATTAACTGGTTTTCTTTGTTATCTGAGGACAAGACGAAAATTTTGTTATAAGAACAATGAGGTTCCAAGAGAGATATGTATTCAATCAGTTCTCAGTTATCTCAATCGGATTCTAACGCAGCCGGATGTCCAGACGAACGTTTTCCAGTCGCGATAACGGAGATACTGTTTCTTGTCATCGAGTTTTCATCTGATTCCCATTCTCTTAGCAAACCGAGATTGTTTTCAATGTACGGCTTGTCTCGAAGTTCAAATAACTAAAGTCACGTACGGAAAAAAACAACTGTGTTAGTGTAACTGAATTTTTGTCACTTAGAGACCAGATGAAAAACTCGGCTGCAGGAACAGAAAGATTCCTCCGAGAGATTTCTACTCAGTCAATTTCTCTCAGTTATCTCAACCGAGTTTTAATGCAGCTGAATGTTCAGCGAATGTTTTTAGCCGCGGTAATAGAGATATTATTTTTCATCCACGATTTCCTTACCTGGTCCCCATTTAAATTATAAAAGTTATACAGATTGAGATTTTTTTATGTATATATTTCCCGATGTACATATTTATCAGGTCATTTCCTTAGCTCTCCACCAACTACGATATTTAATTCGTTAAATACAACTTGTTAAATACACTTTATCTCTATGTGTAAATTAATGAAGTCTCGATGAAATCATATATATATACATATATATACCGGTTAAACGGTGACCCCCGCGGCAATCAACGTGTGAATATCTCCCCGTAACATCTCTTCTATCGAAAGCGCGATCGCGACGATGTTATCCCGTTGGATCTTCATTTCGGCATAATCGACTACAAATCCCCCGAAGCGTCTGCGACCAAGAGCTACGAAAGTGTAGACTGGGTCCGGGCAAACTGCATAAACTCTTGCCGCAATCATCGATGTGTGTATTGTACTAACAGGAAGGTTTATTGGACATCGACGTCGAGTTCGCGGACGGGTTCAGGACGCCCCTGAGGGAAATCGCCGTGAGCGATTACCATTTGCTGGTCGAGAGTATGGACAAGGAAGTTGTGGTGTTCGCGCCGATGGTAGCGTCGCATCATCCCCGGGTCATCGCGATCGGCGAAGGCCGCGGCGATTTGCTGCGCGTCAGTCTACAATTGGCCGACTCCTGCCGGCTCTCCGGCAGACGTTCCAGCAAAACCTCCCAGAGGACCGCGGCCGCCGCGCTGGCGAGCGCATCCGCCAACGTCGAGGTGGATTTCACCTCCAGCGAGGTCCCCAATCGGCCGGAATTCGTGCAGAACGACGGCGGCGGCACGGTCGGCTCACAAAATCACAGGGAACGGAAAACCAGCCGCGGCGAAATGGCGCCCGATCTGCATGACATTATCATCGGTAAATAGACCCTGTTCCCCTTTGCCGCGCTCTTTGCCGCTTTTGTTTTTGTTTTTTTCTTTCTTTCTCTATTCCTGTCTCTCTCTCTCTCTCTCTCTCTCTCTCTTTCTCTTTCTCTCTCCCTCCTCTCTCGCTTTTCTCTTTCTTTCCGCTCCTTTCTACGCTTTATAACTGCCACACACCGTGCGCACGTGCATTCGTTCCTTAGCGTGTTTCCTGGCGGAAACTTTCCTCACCGGGACCATTTGGCTTGTACCGTAAAAAGTTCCGTCTGCATGCTGCCTCTGTTTATGCGCGCCTCTCCCCGCATTCCCCGCCCGTCCATTTCCCCGTACGATGATGGTTTTCACCTTTGTACTTATGAATGTCAAATGTCTCTCCCGCGAAGAATAATTCGCGATGACAACGCGGCCTGTTTATCACAGGTCGTTGCAACTACGTTGCCCGACTCGCTCAATGTGCGGCCGCGATATTTATCGATAACCACCTCTCGCCGTGATAGGGAATTAAATCCGGATCCTTCGAATCTCTCCGCGACAACAACAACGTGCTTTTTCCACACGAAGCTCAGGAAACTACGAGCGAGAGCCCGCGAGCGAAACGTCCAAGCGTACATGATCTCGCTCTGGCTCTTCCTGCTTTAAGTAATTCCGAAGTTTTAACGTTAAGGCTGTATTTTCCGTATATCTTCGGTATAATGCTAGATACGCTGTACACACTCGTTGGTGCAATTACCACTGCGAGAGTGCAAATGCGCGCTCAGTATTCTTCTTCGCTTCTGCTCGCGTTCCCGAGACAGCATGCCTCCTTTGTCGTCGTTGTCCAGCTTTCAAGACGCGCAGGTGCTTCAGGGGAAAAGAAGTTCTCTTTCTACCTCTCTCTGGTCTCTCTCTCTCTCTCTCTCTCTCTCTCTCTCTGACTCAGCACACTGCTCTCTCTCACTCTGTCCTCTCTCTTTCTCTCTCTTTGTTTTCTGTGCAAAGGGTTACCGCTGAAAGACGAGAACGGGCACGAGCACGAGCCTTTGGTGCAGGCACGGCAGCATCGCACAGCTATAGCTAATGGCATGTCTTCAGGGGGTATGAGCGGCGTCGGCGTGCGTCACCACGGCGGGGCGCGCATGAGTCCGCTCGAGATTGGGATGTACGTGCTCCTAGCGGCGTTCTGCTTCGCGATCGTTGTCTTTGTCGTCTCCTGCGTGGTGTACGCCAGCAAGTTCAAGCCCCAGCCGCCGGACTCCCCGCTAGCCGGCGCAGCCGTCCCGGTGCTCTCCAGCGCGGCCAGGGCGCGCGCCGCGGCGAACCAACTGGCGTCTGGCAGGCGACCGCCGCGAGAATCGACGACCAACGCACACGACTGGGTATGGCTGGGCAGAGCGACCCTCGAACGAGCGGCCTGCGGTCCGCAACAGGTACGTGAGTCGGTCGATTCGGCTCGCCGGGACGCCGCGATTCATCTCCCTATGTTGTCGGGTGAATTGCGAGCCGTGCGGGTGAATGGAACGTCCCCCGATGTCAAGCATTTCGTGTTGATTACTATTGTGACTGTACACACCAGTCGGTCCGGGCTGCTATATCGAGCGTTGATTAATTTGAAAGAAAGATTATTCGTAATTATTATTGCCGGTTGCGACGTATGTATTGAATTAAAAGCATATTACACACATACGCACGCGCGCGCGCGTACACACGCGATCGATGGTCCCCTGACTGTTCATCGAGTACGCTCGAGATTAATTCGCGATTAAATTCAGCTCGAGGGCACCGCGGGATTTGCTGTAAATATCAGTGACGCGCGTGTTTCGCGCACGCAGCGGCCCGGTAAGCCGATGCAGCCGATATCGTTTATACAAAACAAGCGGGATTTTGTTGGATCGGTTTGATTGGAAACTCGCTTGGCAGGTGCGCGTAACGAGTAATCCGCTGGCGGCCGAAGGTGAGCCTGAGGCCGAGCTGGGCACATGCTTCGACAATCCGAATCACATTGAGCTGCCATCCGCGATTCAACGGCCCAGCGGCGCCAGCGGCGCTATCGACACCACGACTTATTGCAAGAGGGACAGGATCGCGCGGAACAGCTTCGCCACGAAATCCGCGATCAAGCCATCCACGGTGATAACGCCAGTGACCACTGCGACGGCGGCGACCACCACGACGTCGATGGCAGCCGCGACAATGACCACCGCGCGGAATGAGTATATATTTAATTATCTTCTCTTTATCCACAGAGAATTTGATCCACGAAGATATGGAGGCGTGCTTTTCTCTCACGTGGTTGAAAGCGTTTTTTAATTTTTTTTCATTTTAAGTCACACTTCACCCCAGCAAATTTGAAGACTTTGTGTAATAATGACGTATGATTTACATTTCTTAGTAGTTATTTCGATTGCTCGATGTTACTGCAACCAAAATATTAATGCTATTATTAGTGAAAGCTTCATTGCATCATCCATATACAATCGTCATCATGAACTTGTTTGCAGCAACGACGACATTCCTCCGCCATTACCACCTCACGGGGTACCAACTGCGATCTCGATGTCGACAGCAACAGCCGCTACGACGTTGGCAATCGGTGCGAACGGAAACAACGGCAATGAAGACTACAAGCCACCAGTACCGCCGCATAGGAACACAGGAGTGAGCGTACGACTTCCGGAACCGCCGCGCAAACATCGTCACAGGGCGTCCAGCAGCGGCAGCAGCCATCATGGAAATCATCGGCACAGCAAGCAGCAACAGCAGCAACAACAGCAACAACAACAGCACCAACAACAGCACCATCATCAGTCGTCGCACCATATCAAGCCGCATGGAAAGACGACCAGGGTGGACAACAACTCGAAGCAGCAACAGAAGGGAGACGATGAGGAACTCGTGGAGCTGGTGAACGGCCACGACGACAGACACTCGAAAGATGCGAGATCCCGGGAGATCAAGAGGGCGACCATAGTCGGCAATCCGATGTTCTCGTCGTTCTCCACATCCGCCGTCGTCTCCAGCGTCAACTCCTCCTGCACTCCCACCGCGGCCTCGTCATCCACGTCCCCGCCGTCCTCGTCGCCGTCCTCTTCGTCCTCCTCGTCCTCCGCCTCATCCTCCTCGTCCTCCTCCTCGTCCTCTTCTCAAGAGCAGGAGGAGTCGGTGGCGCTCGACGACCTCAATCTGGGTATGGACTACAACCAGATCATGCAGTACTTCGACAACCTGAAAGAGTCGAATGCCTAGGTGAGGCCGTTCGACCTCTTCGAAGGTCGAGTAGTCAACGTCGATATGGAACACCGGGATCCTCGCTAGCGCGCGCGAGGATCGAACTGTCCACCTCCGCTTGCACTCTCGTCGCTCTCCGAGAGCTCGCCGGTGACAACTGCGGCTCGCGCGAACGACTCCGCTACGTCGAGGACGACCCCGGTTGTTTCGTATTTTAGACTATAGTCTAGTCAGCTTTCTAGCAGCACGTCAAGAGCAACGCGCGCGAATACGAACACACGTACACACACACACGTTCATATACACGAAAAAAGGATAACGCTCCTTCACACAATTTATACAGTCTCTCGATGATTCGTCACAAACGCTAACAGTTTCCCCGAACGACGACGCGAGTTCCTGAAATTTTACCTATGTTTTCTTTTTATAGCTTTTACGAATTATCGACTATCAACGGCGAATTCTTTTGCTAATCGATACTTTTACGCGATCTCTAATTGTAAGTTATTTTCTCTTCTTTAACGAAGTCTTTAGATCTTGTCGTTTAGACTGATAACGTTCGATAGCAGAGAAGCAATTTGGAGAAAATAATATTCTTATTTCAATGTCGACAATGTCTTCACCTCGGACAAGACACATGCGCAAAGTCGAAATTATTGGCGCGACAAATCGGTCGGAGCACTGTCCGTGTACACACATACACACCCACACACACGCAAGAGGCTTTAAAAAAACTGACTGTCGGTGGCCAGTGGGGTAGGTAAATCGCTCGCTCGACGACGACGAGCGTCACACGACGATTCGACGTTTCGTCCCTCGCTGCGAGCTTCCCTTCGTTTCGTGGGATCGCCGATCCTCGCTCTTGCCCCCGCGCCATCTTGATCTCTCGCTCAAGCCCTTCCTCCGCTGTACTACGGTTCCTCCTCCCGTTGTCGGGCCGCGAGAGGTGAGCATAATAAGGCAGCTACGAGATGCAGCGCATTTTGATGGCGCGCCCGCGCACGACCTCGACAATACGTGCGACGAATCGCGAAAATTTCTCCAATTTCTACCATCTTCGCGCATCTCCCTCCTGTGCATCGTGCGTTGTGTGCTATAGATGAACCACATACCCGACGACGACGACGACAACGACTACGGAGTCTTTTGAGTTAGAGAATTCTGGAATTCTCTCGTAAAATCGCACAGATTCGCGAAGAATACGCCGAATCCGAAGTATCCGAAGTGTAGGATCTCTCTTCCTAGCTCTTTCCACCAATCTCTGGTCCTCGTTGGGTATTCATTTCACGTACGATGCCGTCGCGTCTATCTAGAGAAAAAACTGACGTCGAGGTTGAGATGCGACGCGCGATCAGGATACGACAGAGCCTCCACTTGCGACCCGACCCTCGCCGGAGGACACATATTTATTCAATCGACCGTACGTCGTAATGTTTGTAAATTTTGCTTTGTAAGACTGTGTACATGTATATATTATATATACATATATATATATATATGCGATAGCGCGCATGTTAATTATGGACTTACAGATTTAAAGTTACATTTGTATGGCTATATAGAGAGAGAGAATCGCAAGTCGTTCGAGGACTCGAACGAGAGGAACGTCGCCGACGACGAGAACGCGTATACGTTATATACTACGACGCCCCGAACGCTGCTCTCTGGTATCGCTTCTGAAAGATTACCCCTCGCCCCTCGACTGGATCCCACGATCTTCTTAGGTGTAAAAGAAAAATACTCGCGACGCGTTCTTCAATTTTTATCAATGCCGAATGTCGCTTCGCGCGCTTTCACGTGAGCGTATCCGCACGCGCGTGTATGGTGTATGAAAGAAAGAAAGAGAGTGAATGAGTGAGTGAATAAGAAAAAGAGAGACATCTGTTAGCGAGATCTGTATATCGTGTAAGGCGCGTCTAGGTACTGGTACCTAGATATAACGTACGCGTAAACACATGTCTAGGTACAGTATCTCGGTTAAGTATGTTTCCGCGCTTGAAACACATTTGTATCTAGGTACTACGTCAGTTGCTGCGAAGTATCGTAACGTGTATATACATATTTGTCATATCAAGTGTATAATTGTATATTTACTGCGACGGTGTCCGAAATATTGAAGTCAGTTGGAACGTTCTGACAGCGCGGCACGAAGATTATCCCACCTCTTGTTTCGTCACATATCCGTTCGTATTGGATTTCCTTTACCGACCATGGTAGCCTTTCTCTCTTCGCGCGGTGTGTTTAACGTTCAGCAGTATTCCAGGTGTCCGGGAGGGATGTTCTTAGAAGTTTTAGCAATCGTTTCGTATGCACCATCACGCAGGCGCATCCTTTATCCTGTATCCGCATTTGTACCTAGATACAAAGAAAAGCCCTGTACGACACCGTTGATGATGCGCCAGTAAGAGCGAAAATGTAAACTAAGCGAACATATCGTAGCTCAGACGTAATTTTAATTTATGGGATAGTTGATTAATAACGAAGAAGCTTAGCATCCTTGAGAACTCGACTTAAGAATGCCAAGATTGAAATTCAGAGATCAGCTCGATCGATAATTCGTCTATTGGAAAAATACACACCGAAATAAAATAAAAAAATATAGAAGATCCTTCTGTCGAGACAGAAAGTAAAATTTCAGAAAGTTGGTTCCAAATTCAAAGTATGAAGCGCAAAGTAATATCTTACATTTTACACGATTAATTCTCCACTTTTGATATGAAACTAACATTGTAACATTTTTTCAAGTTCATTCATATATAAATCTTTTACAACAAGGTACACATATATCAAGCATAATTACCAGATTGGAAATTATTCAGTACCTTTCGACAAGAGGAATTCTTCACGGTCGGCGACGTGTGTTTGCTCAGTACATGTGCTCTTACTCGCGTTCATGACAATGAGAAAAAAGAGAGAGGTCGTGCAAAAGAGAGAAAAAAAAGATCTGTTCTTCCCGGTCGACTAGAAGTAGTTATGAGCTCATACAGTCGTCCCGTTGTTTTCCAAACTACAACTGATCACCGCGAAGCGATCGAGTGAAACGAAGCAAGACATAAAGATGTGAGAAGTGAGCGACCTACTCCAAGGATTATGCCAGGAACCTATACTATAATAACGCATCTAAGGACTACGTGTCTAAGTATGTATGTATAACTCCATAAGTTGTGTGTGTTAGCACATCGCGTGGGACAATAGTGATTCGATCGAATCAGCGGCAACGACGCGACGCCTCGTTGTCGTGAACAAACGAATGTACGAGTAACAGTTACTCGAAATCGTCGAGGGAGAATTGGAACAACGTACGTGCGAGTACCCCGCCGAGAGAATCTAGTCTTATAGCGTAATTACTAATATTCATATATATATATAAATATATATATAAATATATATAAAAATATACATATATATATATATATTTATATATATTATTATTATTAATCAACGTACAGTGCGATCTACGTTGCCTTTCGTCCAATAATACGTATCTCTCGATTACCCCGCGATCACTGCGATGCGTCAAGCTTGATTTATGTGTATATATACCGTCAACTCGTTATCCACGTGCATACGGCGAGACAAGAAATCCCATTCCGCATTTAACGCTCAACGTAAGACCGTCTAATGCTCGATTTCAGACAACAAGCAACAGACAAAGAAAAAATTCAGACAATTGCGACAGAGCGAGACAGATGCGACACCGTGACGTTTCCCGGCGATGGAATCGTTATTGCTCGATTATTTTGTAACTGCTATTACTTTTATCATTGCAAATTGCCGCGGTGTTGCGATCATCCTCAGGCTGATCAAAGTACGAAGCTCATAACACGGCAAATGGGTCAGACTTAGCGTTAAGTACGGGATCCGAGCACGCAATCTCAGCTGCGACACTGACTGATCGCTTTGTTTCTTCTTGTTATGTTATTCTTTCTTCGTGGAATAGACGTGAAAGAGCGAGACTCATCGGTGAGCACGGCGAAAACGAATCGATCATATCCGAATATCAAGCGAGACAGGCGCGCGCTAATCGTTCATAACTAACTACCTAACGACGTTTGATATAAGGGGCCCTCGGTGATTATCAGATGCCATAAGCGTTTACTTAGTCTTACTGAGCGTGATCGGGGTCAGTGGGCTTGTATGTTAGTACATATATATATATATATATATATATATATATATATATATATATATATATATATATATATATATATATATATATATATATATATAA